CTAGGCCTTGTCCTTGAGCTGCTATGGATGCTGGCTGGCCTAGCACATACAGACTATGGAGGCTGGCTCAGTGGTCCAGGCTTGGTGTGCCCTATCTCCCTGTCCCTGCTGGTAGGGACATCAGGGATTGTCTTTTGTTCATGTCCCTCTCAGAAACTGCTTTCTCAGTCTCAGGAAGGTGAATTTGAGGCCTGATTACTGAGAGAAGATTGAACTGCCTGTTATGGTGTCTGCTTGGTCCTTTCATTACTACATCAACTGTAGTAAGAGGTTTTACTTTGGGTGATAAAACATGCAATCAAGGCTGAGTTGTCTATCCAAGGGAAAGTCTGGGTAAGGAGTCTGTGGGAGAAATCCAAGTGGGGTTGTTTCCTCTAAGTATTATGGAGTAACATGCCTGCTGGATAAGTGGGGTCTGTTGTGTGCATTTAGAGGTGCTATGAGATAGGCTAAAGATTTAGAGCAACTTTCATGGTCCTTGGGAGCAACAAGTAAGGGAAGAGGATTAACAAGCTGTAGTGTTAACAAGCAGTGAAACCACTGCTATGTGTAGTTAAATGTGCATCTAGTGTCAAGATGGCTAGTGAGTGGGAATTTTCTTGTGTAAGGGAGAAATTACAGAGGGAAAGGAATATGTGGCTGTTATGCTCTGCATTAGCCTTTGGTTTGGGGTAAATTTGAGAAAAGAGGGAATGTCATGGAGAAACAGGCTTGGCCCCTTCGGACAGCTGGCAGGATGGAAGAGAAAGAGAGTACAAATTAGGTTTGAAACACTTGAAATCCATAGGAAGAGGCAGACAGTAAAGAAAAGAAAATGCCGTGAAAAGAATAAACCAACAAAGAAACTCATGATTACGGGACTGATGGCCAATGCCTAGTTCACCAGGTAAAATAGGACTATGTTAACTGGGTGTTAAAAACACTCAACTCAAAGATCTAGATTAGTCAGGAACCACAAGACTGATATAGAACATTAGTGGCTTTTTAAAAGTCCCTTGGTGGTATGGGATCCATGAGAAATTGCAAAGTCTTTAGCAGACCTACATGATTCTAGACCAGCCAACAGACTGAGTTTATAAACATGCTGAAACACTGAGGAGGAGATGAAGAAAGCGTTGGCATTCTGGCCCACTTAATGGGGACCTGCCCTGAGTCCTGAAGTAAATCCTCTTTTAAGGAAAAAACCCTGGCTTATTCTTCCTCTGCTCCCCTTCTTCTCTTCCCCACCATGAGGTATGCACACCTCTGCTTTCCCTCTCTCCCCCTTCTCTTTCTTCCTCTCTCCCTCTATTCCTCTCTTCCTCTCTCTGTCTCTCTATAACTCTTTCCATGTGGATGCTGCGCCTGCCTGGGGTGTGAGTGACTTCCCAACATGTCACACTGCAGTCCCCTGCTGAGTCTGCATGGAGTGTCTTCCTCACCTGCTGCGAGGCACCTTGGCTCCCTAAGGCCTACACTCTGTATCATTACAGAAAGGAAAAAGCAAATGATGAGTCTTGTTTAGGTTACTAAATAGCAAGTGTCATAAGTCCCTAGGGGGGAAACTGATAAAAGACCATATACTGTGCTTGAGGGTTTTTGAAAGGCTTTAAATCCTAACTAGCAAGGGTTAAAAGGAGTGCAAAGCAGGAGGGGTACAAGCTGTCTCCTGTTGTTTTTTTGTTTTTAGTATTTTGTGGGGGCCCGCCACCCAGCTCCCAAATAAATTCACACATGGAGGCTTATTATAACACAAATGCGTGGCCTTTTTTTTTAGCCAGCTTTCCTTAACTTAAATTATCCTGTCTACCTTTTGCCTCTGGGCTTTTCCTCTTCTCTTACTTCCATGAATCTTCCATGGCTTGCAGGTTGTGTAGCTGGGTGCCTGGCCCCTGATGTCCTCCCATTCTTCTGGCTCCTTCTCGATCTCCTCCTTTCCTCCCAGATTTCGCCCTCTATCTTCTGTCTGCCTGCCGGCCCCACCTATCCTTTCTCCTGCCTTGCTATTGGCCAGTTCTTTATTAGACCATCAGGTGTTTTACACAGGGACAGTAACACAGCTTCACAGAGTTAAACCAGTGCAACATAAACACAAGCAACACACCTTAAAATAATATTCTACTGTAGTCCCCACTGCACCCCATGTCATTGGATGGAAACCTCAAAGCTGCTCTGACTGATGTCCAAGGTTGCCTGTAATTGAAGACTGTAGATGGCACCTGGGGGCCTCTTGCTAAATTATGGATTCGTGGGTCTGCTATTAAAGCACAAGTTACTTAGATTTGGGTGGGTATTGAAGCCCAAATTACATTAAGTTGTTACAGTCCCCAGAGCGCTAGGGGTAATAGGTGGGTGGATCTGGGGATAAAACAGTCCAAGTCAAATGAACCAGCCTTGTTCTAGGTGGGCAATACTCCCCCTAGAGAAAACTGTACAAAAAAGTGTGTTAACCAGGGGCTCTCACTGAGCCAGGCTTGCCTAAGGGACAGATAGTGGAAATGGGCAAAGCTGTAGGTCAGATCAGAAGTCCACCAGACCCTGGGTGTGGTACAGTCAGGCATGTGGGGTTCTGTTCCCACTTGCCCCTGGGCTAATTTGAAATGTCCCTACCCAGGCTTTGGGGATGGGGAAATGCTTGTAGGTCTCATTGAGTTGCCTCGGTATAAGGAAGCCAAACAATTGCATTAAGTAGTGGGATCTTTTCTGGCTGTACTAGATCTTGCTAATGCATTTTTTTAGCTTCTCCTTAGCTACTGAGCATGAGGAACTGTTTGCATTTACTTGGAATGGTCACTAGTGGACATTCATAGTCCCCAAGTTTACCTTGACAGTCACATTCTTTTCGGTAGGGTGGTGTCCTGGGTCCTTGCTATGTCTTGGTGACAACCCTCTATTGCATGATGCTGATCTCTGAGTGTTTTTCAGATTAAATAAAATCCTAAACCGTTCATGTACCCATAAATGAACAGGCATAGAAGATGAATCCACACAAGGCACAAGGGCCGGACACAGCTGTAAAAGTCTTGGGCCCAGATCATATTGGGGGATGTCACTGTTTGGTGGCATGGAGCCTGACTTCTTTGTCAAATATGGCCTGGAAGCCTAGTCCTGGGATTTGAGGACTGAGCAACATGTTGTTCAAAAGATAGAAAAACTGGAAGGTAACTGCAATGCTTGCTTTTGGAAAGATTTCTATATTTATTTATTTATTTATTCATTCATTCATTCACTCACTCATTCATTCATTCATTCATTCATTTATTTTTACTTCAGGTCAAGTTCCAAGCATGCCTCTTAACCAGGAGTACAATACAAGAAACTGGGAACTGAGCAGACCCTGGAGCAAAGTAAATGTAAAAAAAATGCTGGGAACCAAGTAAGAAAGTCTACTCTCACTGCAAATTTAGTCTGAGAGCTTGGCCTGCACAGTGTTTAAATAAATTAAATTAGTTATCATTTAAGCAGTAAGGTATCCCCATTCAAAGGGAGAGCCACAGCTCCTCCTCAATTTAACTCTACCTTGTATCAAGTTGACAAAAACCCCAACCAGGACAATCAACCCATGTCAACTTGATATACAAACACATCATTATTCACCTTTAACTGTTCTTTATTGTTTATCTCTAATGTCTCCTACTATTATTAATATCACAATATAAAACATAAATAACTTTAAAGCACCTCATGTGTCCTTATCTCATGCAAGTTCTATCTGGAACTCTCCCGCAAGAACTTAACTTACCCTGGAGGAAAATTCCCATTCCACATTTACGTTCTGGCCCTTAATCCTTACGGGTCTCTGTCTTTCTCCCTCTCTCCCCCTCAATGTCCCTCCTTTCCTTCCTTCATCCCCACTTCAGTGTGTGTTTGTGTGTGTGTGTGTGTGTGTGTGTGTGTGTGTGTGTGTGTGTGT